TGGATAGCAGTAGCATATCACGGAAAATAACACCCTATGTTTAATACATGTATGGAAAAGCGCAGGTATGTGGATAGCAGTAGCATATCACAGGAAATAACACCCTAGGTTTAATACATGTATGGAAAAGCGTATGTGGATAGCAGTGGCATATCACAGGAAATAGCACCCTAGGTTTATTACATGTAATCGTGGCACAATTATATCATGCAAGTGATCTTCACCACGTGATAGGAACAGTGATTTCGCATTTGATTTCAATTTGTACGTCGTGATCACATACATAACTTGCAGGTTCCTCTAAACTAATTAAGTTGTGGTTTAGATTTTAAAGGAATTGTTTCTCTTCTCGGTGTAGAATACGTTCATGTATCTACCAAAGCAAAGAAAAATTGTTGCCAAAGAACAATCTGCTTGATTTGCTCGTTGAATTTGTAATCTGTTGATTAATTTCCAATTGAATAATTAAATCATCTCATCTCTAAAATTCTAAACTTATATTATATCTTTAAAATTACGATTTTGATTTGATGTGAGTATTCTTCGTGGATAACTGTTAGATTTGTTTATTTCGTAACAATAACTACACTTCTCTACAACAAGCTATGATTGATTTCTTCTTGAAAAATGCTTGCCCGAAGAAGTTTTCACTTGATACGTGAACCCTACAATAACGGCATATATCATATAACAGCACTTTGAAAATTCACATATGCCCTGCCCTGCATGTAGTACGTTATATTTATTAATTACTTCCAAGCTGCTGCTTATGTCAACAACTGCATTTTAAAACCAACTCAGTACCGTGCTGCGTTATACTGCGTAAATTGTTGACTCTAAACACAACGGAGCTATTTCGATCGGCAGGTCGCGTGTTACATAAACATAACTTTCCTGGTTAATTACAAACAACTAACTACTTCTGTCTTCAAGACATCGCAACACTTTAAAAATATCCCATGATAGCTTGTGCAACGTTTCACCAGCAACACAGAGAGAAAAAAAGTTATTATAACAACAAACAAAACACATTTAGAACCCTAATTTCAAGTTAGTATGAGCATAAGACCCTGAAGTACTTCTCTTTTTTATTTTAAATATACAATATTTCTAGCATTTCTCTTCAACCTTGTTCTAAATTGGTATATCGAGATTAAACTCAAATATATCCATTTCCCGAGAAATCGGAAAACAAGTACGGTCATTTTCCATCCGATGCACTTCTACAATTATAGTGACTGTTCTCATGCGTTGATAATTAGGTGGGAGTCACATACTCAGTAGACACCCATTCTCAAAACTTGACGTACTTGACGGAACCGAAATGAGGCTCGTGCCGTTGATGCTTACAAAAGATATATACTATTGCCCTTCCCTAGTGATTGGCGCGTATAACTAATCCTAACGCGGGACATCCGTGTACCGTAACAACTAAACAACGAAATTTCACCAAAATCACGTTCATATCGTATATAATTTAAACAATGTCTGTGTTCATATACAAAAAATAAGCGTATAGTACAACAAAATTAACCACTCGTTTTTCAGCCACGGGTTTCACTACGCTCCTTCGTC